GTATCTTTCATGACTAATTTTTGATCAATTCATTAATAACCTTTATGTCGATACTGCCATTCTTCCCTTTGCTTTTATGACTTTGTTCGCCATCGATTACACAATAATTTAAATGATATATTTAGCAATTATTAAAATTCTTAGCGTCAAAAAACGAAAAAAATAAATAGTTTGCCGATAAATTCTTGACGCAGGTTTAAGTCACGCGGACGTAAATTTGGGCATAAAACTTACCTTGTCAAACGGGAGCGCTCGCGAGATAGCCTGCTCGCGGAAGATACGAATGAAGGATCCCGACGCAACGTCACTTTTCCAATAGTTGTGGCTGCAGCGAACCAAAAATCAAGGTACGGTATTTGAAAGTTTTCGCGTCAAAACTGACTCGAAGGGTGGCACGCCAAGATGCAAGAACAAACGATCCAAGCTCTAAAACGTTGCGATGTTTGTATTATATCGTAATGAAATAACAATAAATACAGTGGCAGGGATCGTCGCCGTCGCGCGCGCGCGCCTATCGTAAGTGTGTGCGAACGCGCCAATAAGACCTGCACTTGTGGCGTCTTAGAAGTAAACAGGAGTCGCTTTTATATCGCGCTAAAATCCCTTGAGCAACGTGTGCAATGCCGCAATTTATATATTATATACAAGGAACTCTGCTGCTGAGGCCGCGACCATTATAATACGTACTTAACGGCGAAAAAACCTTTTTATCGTCGGGCGCGCGCGGGTACATAGAATGCATAATAATGTGAAACGAGCCTCTGGCCATCTAATGCTGAGCTATTAGGACGTGTTCATTAAACAGTGTTTGTCAGCTGCGCGCTGAGCGTCTTTCTCTCTCTCTCTCTCCATTATATATAGCACGTATATATTGCAACAGCAGTGCACATAATCGAGCGTCAGCGCAGCGTCCTCGTGGCGCCGCGTGTAGCGCGCACACACCGTTCAACGCGATACACATAATGCATAGTCGATATATATAATATATAGCTACGTGTTTGTGCGTGTGTATGTGTGGCACGTTCGGCTTGCCTTTAAGATTGCTTCGAGCAACGTCGTGTAGACTTAAGGGTGCTCGACAGCCCATGCACTCGAGCACAGTGCCTTGGCTTGCAGATTATATATTATTAAGTCCTTCGCGTCACGCGTTTGCGTTTATCCATGAACCGATAAAGGGCGACAAACACTCTACACATACATATTCGAGTGCATCGAGCTTTAGCTTTGATTCGATCGCTCGTTATATATATAGAAAAATATTATAGCCTTCTACTGTTTTTCAATTTATCGAGTCCCTGAATTATAAGGAGCGCGCGGGGGAGGAGGCGCTAAGACTGCCGCTTATTACATTCGTCTCGTTAGAGATAATCGGATCGTGCCATGAACAAAAAAAAAAACAAACTTTCACAAGGTCGGCATTGGATGAGCGAGATTCAGCGATTTGTGCCCCTGACTGCAGCTCTCTCAGCTTTCCTGCGGAGCATGAAAAATCATTTACCCTTTTTACCTCGCTCTTTCTCTCTGGCTTTCGGGATAAACAGAATAACAATACGTATAGACGGAAAACAAGAAAGAACTGCAAAAATATACTTCCATTCTAGCCAATCTAGCCATTTTAGGTGGAAGTCAGGGAGGAGGGGGGGCAAACAGTCGCGCAGAATAGGCAAGAACAGAAATACATTTCCACTCGGGATGTGCCCGGAGTTTTTTACCCCGGAAACTTTCTCGTTTTCCACGTCGCTTAATTCGCAAGTTTTTGCGCCGCTGCCTCGATCATTCTAAATTCAACTTTTACAGCTGATCCTGCGGGGAAAAAGTTTGCCGCTGATCGTGCAATCTTATTAAGATTTCGGAGGGCCACGCGACGCCTCGGCCACATTTTTCTTCGCAAGGGGCTGTGGTAAATAAAATATCCTGGCATGCGACCCTGTCGATTGCTTATTTATGCGTATTTAAATCAAGATCAACTGTAAAATAGCCTCTTATTCTGCCGTTAAGCAGTTAATCGTTGTTTCTCGACGTTGCATCGAAAAAAGCTTCGATTTTTATGTCGCATTGTAATAAAAAATTTGAAAAGATTGATTATCTCGAATCATAGCCTCTTATATTATGAAGATAGAGCTAAGGTATATTTTGCTTCTGGCTTTAGAACGATACCTCTCTGGGCTGGAGTAACGAAGTAGAAAATCAACTACCAACTGATTAGATGTCAAAAAATAGTCAATATCTTGCGGCTATTTTTTATTAAAAATTTCTCTCGAGTATATCGCGTTTTTTTTCTTATAATTTATTTTTAAGACCTGTGACTGGTATAAGTTAACACAAACTTTCAAATAAACATCAGCACATAAAATATTATTAGTTTCATATTGATCGCTAGGTGGCGTACACCTTTCTCTATACTTTCTCATATATAAATACACTCGGCGACAAAATTATCGCAACAAAAAAATTCATCGAAATTTTGTCGATTTTCAAATGCTTCTATCTTGGGCTAGATTTATCGTATCGACACGCTTTTTTTTTTAATTTCTTGGAAATTTTGTCCTCTTTAAATCCATATAAAATAAGATTCGAGTTAATGTTGAGTTACCAGTAGTATTTGAGCGTGACACTAAAAATTACTGAAAAAAAATGACTGTTTGAACGTGTACCAGTACCACAGTAATTTTTCTATCGAAATCTAACATACACCATCGCAAAGTGCTCTTTTCAACGAGTAATTTAAAAAAAAAAGGACCTCTCTACGATTTTTTTAACGCCCTGTAGGTCGATTTGAAGGTACGGTTTGTGTACGCAAAATGTCCAGAAAATCGTCTTGATTTCAGCTAAACGCGGGATTTTCTGTTACGGGGGATATAGATTTAAAGAGGGCAAAATTTCCAAGAAATTAAAAAAAAAAGCGTCTCGATACGATAAACCTAGCCCAAGATAGAGGCATTTGAAATTTGACAAAATTTCAATGAATTTTTTTGTTGCGATAATTTTGTTGCCGAGTGTAATTAATAATTACTAATTATAGTCACGCATACATCTACTCGAAAATCTGACAAATCATTTATTTTTCGGACCCTAATACTGACGAAGGCTACAGCATCAATATCAACTCGTAATGTCGTAGAGATATCCGAGACTATAGCGACAGTAAACTTGAAAAACTAATTCGTGCGATTTTTCCCAATGAGTTTAATGGTTTTGAGCAACGAAATGAGCACAGCTCATTTAGCGCTCCCTTCGCCCATATCCGTATTATCATTGCGAAATTGAGAATCGATCGAGCGAGACGATTAGTCGTTGCATACCCGTTAGTCGAAAAAATCATCGCTGAATTCTCGGTAACAATAAGCCAAAAAGTTGCGGACGAGAAAATCGACAAACAGGTTTTTCTGCTATAAAGGAAAAAAAAATTCGCCGAACGCGCTCTCGCACGAGAACAACAAGGTATATATTATAGGCAGCAGCGTTGCAAGGCTCGTAAATTCACGGCTCACGTGCATCGTTTGCGTAAATATATATCTTTTAAAGCACTCGAAACGTAGGTGTACAGTATTATAACGATGATCCGCGCGAGCTTGGGCGCGGAAAGTTAGCCCTCGTCGTTGTGCGCTCAGCAAAAGTTGCCCCGCGCACGCAGCTGCGGAGCTTGTAAAATATATAACAAAAAAAAAAAAAAACGACTCGATCCTCGAGCGCATGCAGAGCTATATATCTAACTCGGTTATCATCATTATTACAATGGACTGCAAGTAGCTCGTACATGTGTGTGTGTGTGTGTGTGTGTGTGTGTGTGTGTGTCTGTGGGTGCTCCGTGCTTTGCAGCGCGCGGATAGATGCATTGACCGTACGGTCTACATTATATACAAAAGTTGCAAGTTTGTGCCCGTGCTGCAGACGTATTATACGCCGAGTACAAAGCCCTTATATACCACCAATAGCGCAAGCTCTCGTATACACTGATGCACGCGCACGCACACACATACACTTACGCACATAAAACTGCGCCGGGCTATACTCCGGCTGTGCACTGTAAGCTCGTAAAAGTCCATGCCTGATTCACTGCTTTTGTTATACGTACTTTTTCCTTAAGCTGTAGCGTGCGTGTGTGTATATATACCTCTCGCTACATACTATATAAACTACATAAAGCAGAAGCGAGAGTGTATCAAGCAGTTAAAATCGAATATGCACATTGACGTATGATCGTAAACAAAAAGTTAGCGAAGAGGGACAGAGAGAGAAAACTTGAAAGCTCTACGTGCATTTTTTCGATATTCCTATGCGTCCTTCTCATTTGTCCCAAATCCGAAGCGATCGTAATTATTGATGAAAAATCCGTGATTTACTTGCAAATAAATATTCAAAATATCTTAGGATAACTTTCACTGCGATTAAAGTTTTTATCTTATTGACTCGTGTAATTTTTTAATATTTTTATACTTACACGGAGCTTTATATTTAGCATTTTAATTGTTTTGTATTTATTCAGATTTTTAGGCGATTTCAATAAATGGAAAAACTATACATTACAGATGCACGAGCAGAAAAGAAAAAATGTATAATTCAAAAAAGTCGACCGTTTTACTTTGTTTTACAAAACCACGTGAATGAACCTGTACTCGAGGGTTCCTTTTGCACTGAACAGCAGATTAAATTGAATTTTTGATGTATTGTTTTTCACTTCGAGCGTAAAAGGGCGCAACATTTATTAAGAATAAATGTACTACGAGTGCCACGCATTATACGCAACTTGGATTAAAATGTTGTATTATTGAGGATAAATAATTAAAGTAATGATAAATGCATGAAATGGTTTTAAATATTTTTATAAAATGTTCTATTTATACAGCATATAAAACAATACTCTTTTGTTTCACATTGTATTCACACATTTTTAATTCTATACGACTATACCATCATCGTGTAACCCTCAATATTTTTCATATATTTTATTTATATATTTACTTTATATTATTCGGCGGGTTAATTTTTTTTCACATATATATTTTATAATATATTTTACGACTTTGTAAATAATTTTTTTTTTGTTGCGTTAATAATTTTTTCTTTAACATCATGATTTCGGGCATCACACTTTGCTCTTGGTCGTGCCGCCGCTACGATTCGTACTCTTCGGTTCTGTAGTGGTAATCTTAGTCCTAGTAGGGGTGCGCTTCTGAGTCAGATCGAGTTTGGTCGCGTCAGCGCTTATTATGCGATTGAAAGCGCCATTCTCGGGCCTCGATCCGGTAATGCTGCTCAAACTATCCACGTTGTCTTGATTATTTGGTACTTTTAAATGGACAAAAAATAATGATTGCGTCGTTATTACTTGAAAGTGCACAATTAGAATTCACAAAAAGACAAGTAATACTTACTATTACGATTAACGCGTGGCCGCGTATTTATCAGCTCGCTAACCGACTGCTGAGTGCGTTTCTGCTGATTGTTCCCTGAGTAATGATTGTGATTAAGGAAGGCCGGCGATTCCGTGCTGTCACGCTGCTGCTGACTCTGCTGATCTTGGGCCGCGGGCAGGGGCTGCGACCAGAACGAGTCATCGAAAATCTCATTGTCGACCTCCTCGTCGGGCAATCGATTTAAGCGCGCTCGCACGATCGCCAAATGCCGATGCACGTAGTCCTGCTCGGGCGCCAGGGCTGCGGCTTTTTCCAGACACTGAGCTGCCAAGCCGAGCTTGCCGCGCTCCACCATTACCACGCAAAGATTGTGCAAGCCTTGTATGTTGGTCGGATCCAGCTGGAGAATCTTTCGGTAGCACTGCACTCGCATTTACATGTATTTAATTGTGTGGTCTAATAATAACACTTTTGTGGATAAATTCTCTCTTACGTTTTCAGCTGCATCCAAATCCTTAATATTGTTAATGTAAATATCACCGAGCAAAATTAGCCCCTTTACGTGATCCGGATGAAATCTGACGAGTTGATTCAGAAAAGGAGCAGCTTCCAAAGGCCGTTGCTCGTCGGCCAACAGCAGAGCCAAATTGAACAGAGCTGATCTGAAGTCCTCCTTCAGAGCAACGGCATTTCTGAACCATCTCTCGGCATCCTCGCTGTCGTGATCGTCCATCGCAAGCATACCAAGATTGAAATGTACCCTCTCGTTATTGGAATCCTGCGTACGAATGGAATTTCATTTTTATCGAGATTCATCATAGGTAGCGTGTGCGCGCGCAGTTTCGACCCTTAAATCCATCAATTAGTGCATACCTTTCGCAATAACTTCAGTAATCTCTCTCTGGCGACTTTTCGGAGCTCAGCGCGACCTAGCTCCTGCAGAAGTATGGCCGAGTTGAGCAAAGCCTGCTCGTGCTCCGGATCGAATTCCAGGGCTTTGTCGAGATAGGCCAGGGCCTGCGAGGCTTTTCCTTGCTCCAAAAACACAACGCCGAGCTGTAAATAAAAATGCCCACGCGGCGCCGTTAAATTTCGATGATCATAAAAGCTCTCTCGACATATCCACGTCCTAGGTGCGGATGATAAACGAGCACTTCTCCGCGCCACACTCACATTATAATAAATGTCAGGATTGTTGCTGTCGTAAAATAGGGCTCGCTCGTAAACCTCCTGGGCTTCTTTCGTGCGATTGAGTTTGATGAGGACGTCACCGCGATTGATGTACGCCAGCGTGTAATCCGCTCGCATGCTGATCGCCTGCCTGTACAGCAGGTCGGCCTCCTCCAGCCTCGTCGCGTTTTTCGCTATGAGATTGGCCAGATTTACAAAAACGTTCAGATGATTGGGCGCTATCCGCGCTTGATAGGACTCCCCGGGTTTGGCTTTCGGTAGCAGAGATTTGGCCTGTAATGGGGAAAAAATTCATGGTGATATTTTTTTTTGACGACGTGAATATTATTGCTATGCATCATGTACAGATGAAAAACCATCTACGAATAACTACGAATCTATGGATGAGCCATAAAGTAATTTGCGAACCTTCAAGTAAGCGTCCTCAGCCTCCTTGAACATCTTCAAATGATTGTAAGTCCGGCCGACGTTGATGTGCGCGCCGATGTCGTCGCCCTGCACCTGCACGGCCATGTTGAAAAAATTCAGCGCCTCCATGAAGCGGCCTTGGCTCTCGAGCGCGTGGCCGACGTTGTTGAAGAGCTTGGCGTTGCGGTCGTTGACTTTGAGACCCGACATGAATATCTGATACTCGTCCTGCCAGTCGTAATTCCTCACGTAGGTTTTCGTGGCGAAGGACAGCAGCAGCGTGAGCAGCAGCAACACCGATAATTTTTTACTGCAACAAGAAAAAAAGTCGCGAACGCGAAAGCGGACGCTCGATAAATTTGTCGCTTTTTGCCCGCTCATCGACGTACAGGTAAGCATGGCCATATTACTCCCGATACCCCAGGTCGTGTAAAATGTATTTTCATATTTGGTGAATTTTTTCTTTCGTACGATATGCAAGAGGAATTGTCGGGAGTAATGTAAACCGACCATCGTAAATTTACAAGTGGAGGCAAGCATACTCTTAAATACCTTTTTTCACATAGAATGTGACATCCGTATCCAACGAGCATACAGAATCCCATGGAAGGTGCATAAAGTACTCTTTCGGCAACAACAAAACCGACTGGAAAAAATAGATTTGAAGCCGGTAGAAAGGGAAGAATCATCATCGCTAAACTCTGCGAAAAATTTAGAAAAAAAAGAAGATAGAACAATTTTGAACTTCAATGGTACTGAACGTAATTGCTGCTACGAAATAAAAAAAGAAAGACTCACCATGATGATTATTATTGACGTTTGTCGATTGCACGTGAGCACGGCGGTGGCGAGCAAGCCGAGGACCGTCGAGTGGGCCGCCAGAGTGGCCAAGTTTCTCACGTCCAGCAGGCCCTCGACCAGTGGTATCGTGCCCATGGTCCAGTCGCAGCACAGATCCGTCGGAAGGAACAGCAGACGCATATTGACGGCGGCTAAATAATTATACGTCAATTGTCTGGTCGGCGTCGCGGCCACCGACGCCGGATTGTCAAACCTGTAATGCAACGCGGGCACGGCGGCAACCATTAAAATTCAATCTTTAAGCCGACCTCCCAACAAACCGAGCAGCGGTGGCAGCTCGCTCGCGGGGGCTAATTCGATTTATCTTCATGCGCCAATTTCGATATTATGACGCACGGCGAAGGATGAATAATACATAAATTATTATATCGCTGGATAAAGAGAGAGAGAGAGAGAGAGAGAAAATGAATTTTATAAAGTTGCAAGATTAATTTGGCATTTCGATTTCAGTCCGATGTATATCGGACACATATTCAATAAAATGGAAAAGTCGATTCGATATATATACCGCGCGGGGTAAAATTCATTACTTCTCTCGCATGCAAAAACGTCAGAATGCGCGATGTGAAATATACGTATATATTCAAGTTACCTGGTGAATACGGGCAGCTTCGAGCCCATCACGTGTAATCTTAAAATTAACAGACTAAAGGTAACGAGGGTGACGGCGGTGAGTCGCTTTGTGCCCTCGCTCGACCAGCTCGGCGATATCTTTTTACCGTCGAACGCCGACTTGAGCGCTAATACAATGTCCAAAGCTCGAACCTGCATCGAAAGAACAAGTAGCGGTAGTAGTAGAAAAGTAGGGCGGAAAATCAAAGGAGCTGACTCGACAAACACACATCGGAGAGAGTCGAGTCGGCGCGTTAATTATTCATCATAAAGTCTCTCAATTACCCTTTGTACAACGAAAATTTCATATAAAACGCAGACTGCAGTGGCGGTGATCCCTTGCTCCTTGCACAGCATAGCCACGAGCACGAAGAACATGGACATTATTAATGATCTCCAGCCTGTTAAGGGATACGTGTGTGAGTATTATATATATACGTGCATGTGCCAAAAAGTCCGCACGAGAAAGTCGAAGAAAAACAAGGTATACGCTTTTCGCGAGTATAAGAGTATACGAGAGGTGAAAACGAATCGTTTTGTTTTACGAAAAATACGGACCTGTGGATCGTTTGCTTCTGCAACACTTGGTGTAGGTCATCAAAGCGGCCAAGTAAAACAAGGATGACAAGGTCTCGGCTCGGCCGACGACTCCCGTAACCTGTCGACGTTCAAACGTGTTACGAATTCATGTATACATTAACATTCATAGGGTAAACAGCTTATATAGATTTCGTGCTTTCATGCGTAAGCTCGGAATATACATCGTTTTTTTCAAGGCAGTAATCTAAAGTGCGTGCGCTTACCGCCTCTGTGTGTATAGGATGAACGGCGAACAGCAGAGCCGAGATGAAACTCGCAACGTCTGGTAAAAACATCAAGCATATTCTGGAAAAAAAATGTAAACCCGATTCGATTTTAATGCCATTCCGAGAGATGACAAATCCTGATGTTAACTTTATGTCATACTGGATGCATAGCAATAGTAAATGTGTGCTTTGGGCTTTTAAAGTACTCGATCGTGTTTTTGCTTCGAATCAACATGTAATACTATTATATATCGGAATTAGACTAATATATGATCTGACTTATCGAGATAGATAACGACTCCACTCAGAGTTCGACGGTGTAGTTTAAATTCAGCAAATTCTCGATGAAAATTGATGTTTACGCAAAATCCTACAACAGAATATGATGAAAAAAATACCCTTCAGTTTACTTTAAGCATACAATATACGAGCGCCGCATCCCTCTGCCCCGTTGCTTCGTGAATATTTTCCCGTTACGCAACTGGAGCGTGCGGCGCGCAGCTTCATTTTTAAATGAATAAAAAAGAAAAAAAATCATCTCCACTTGGTGATTTTTTTTTGGTTGGTTTGAAAAAAGCTGAATAAAAAAACCGAGCATATTCACGAATCAAGTCCGTCTCTATACGTATGGCACGTTGTGTGTCCGGCCTGTCTATTCACGAGTATCTGCCAATTCTCTCGTGCTCGTGTGTGTTTGCCAGGAATCCGCGTATCCAATACGCGAATGCTACGATGGTCTTCGTCAGTTTTACGTATATACACAGTTTGTTACCAACCTGAAGTACAAAAGGCTAACTCCAACGTGTAGAATAACGTTGAAAAGATGATATCCCATCGGGTCCAATTGATGTATCATGTAATTCCAACGGAATGTGAGGACGCAGAGCGGCCTGTACGATTTGTGCGATTGTTCCTGTGAGCAAAAAAAAAATCCCAATATTTTAAAAATTGTGTAAACTCATGATCAATTTTGTATAAAGTAATATTTTCATTTGCATAACATCGATGAATTGTAGAATTCACTCAAATAAATTAAATATTTATTTGATTGGTCAAAATATTTCCCCTCAACGAAACATTTCATTAAAGGAACTGAAAATTTAATTAATTTGAGTAAATTACACAGTTAACCGAATGAAATATTCCAGTCGATCAGTTGAACGTTAAATCGATTGGATTGAATAGGGAAATATTTTTCTCAGTGTGTTACATTAAAACAGTTCATTGATGCGGTAAAAAGTTTATACAAATTCGACGTAATTTTTCAGCACAAAGATGCAAGATTTTCCGAGACCTGGGACCATGTAATAAATGGCTGAGTTTGAATTAAAAAAAAAAAGATACAAAAATTAAATTGAATCGAATTTAATACGATGAATGCACGCGCGAGATCATCTCAGAGCACGGTTTTGAAAATTGCTTTCAGCTCAAATTGCATTAAATGTCGAGCATTTTCTTTTCACAATGTACGTAATCAACGTCATCGTGAAAAGACGCTTTCTACGGATAGCCAAACAAATTATTTCGAGGATTACAATTAGTGAACTATTGTTCAAGAGGGTCGAAATTTTGTTTGATAGAGAGCTGAAAGCGCCGAATGTTGCGTCTCAATTTGGCGATTACTAATGGTGTATTCGGTTTTCGAACGGTTCTAGAAGATACATATTTTAACCAAGTTGTTTTGGTCGCATGGAAATATACCAAAAGTTACAACTCTTGAAAGCAAAAGAGAGTCAATAAAATATTCTACTAATAATTGAGTATGACCTGAAAATTGAAAATTAAATTATTTGACGAGGAAGAAGGAAGATACTTCGATTCACTGATTATATTTACTCTGTATTGATTTCGTACGATATTTGTATTTCAAAATTATATAATATGTGCAATATAATAATGACGATTTTTCGTGAATCCCCCAGCCTAAAGTAACATTTTCATTTCGCTCAGCGGGAGTAAAATGTTACTTTAGGTTGGGGTGGCAAAAAAAATAAATTGTCGAGTATGTACGGGGTAATGATGGATTTTTGAAATGCCCGGAATAATCCAGTGGAATTAAATAAGTACACCTCGAAATAGTTCAGTCGGATTGAAGAAGGGCAAAATAAAAATAAAACGACGAAGGTTGCAATCAAGACACATAAATTACGACTCGAAAGTTGGCTTGATTAAAATTAATTCTGCGCATCGTACGTATATGCAGGCGCGCGGATACGCGACGTGGAACGTATTACGGTAAACATTTGATAAATTGAAGGCGCGAAATATATACCATATAACGTAACCGACGGAGTATTGTCTGGAGGTAATCATAATTGAAAGCGAGATGCAGAGAAACACTTTGTGAAACAATAGCGGGGGTGCATGTGTGTGTGTGTGTGTGTGGAGGTGATATCACAGGAGGCGTATACGTGCTATACAAGCCTCGGCGTCGTAATTTCGATTACATGCCACAATCGCGCCTCGCTAATCTCGCTCTATCTCTTCCCCTTCGCTTCTCTCTCTCGCTCGTCGGCGTGTGGCACGGTTAAGCTAAGTAAGGATCAAATAAATCACTGGCACAAACGTGTACATTCGCATGTGCACGGCTATATATGGTATATATAGTAGTGCAGTAGTACACACATGCAAGCGAGAGCTGCTTGTCGGTCATAGATCACGAAAACACGTTGAATGTGCAACGTCGCATCGTCCCATCGCCTATATATCAATGTGGGCTGTAATACTTGTGTTATATGGCCAGGAATATATTATGCATGTCTGCACGCGCGTACATTATAATATATTTTGTATGTGTATGGTTCATCAGAAGCCGCAGCAACGAGGCGGCGAATCGACAAAAGTCCGTCGCCGCGAACACAGCTGCGACCTGTGCTTGCAGCAGTAGCAGCGCAATATAAGTATATGTATATATACGCGGAGATGCACAAGTGCAGCAGCGGGTTTCGAGAAAAGTATACGCGGCGCAAGTACACAAGAGCTGATTCAGCCGGTGGCGCGAGCGAGGCCGCAAATTTTGCTCTGCGCGCGCGATTCTTAACTTTCCTCAAGGTGCGAGAACTTAAGTTTACAGAGAGAGTGAGGGAAGATAGAGAAGAGAAGAGAAGCGCGAGTATAAGAGTAACGTAGGAATATCCATATACGCTCGAAATGTATACATATACAGCGAGAGGGTCGACGTCGTCTGCTACCGCTGCTCTAGCTATATAGAGTACATACCGTGAGGGAAAGACGAGGTGGATCAATATCCCAGCCGCACGAGCCATATAGACGCCATACGCAGAGGGAAAGAGAGAGAGAGAGAGAGAGCAGAGTAAAAGCTGCACACAAGTTGCAAAGAGCTGATGTTCAAGCTCGCGCGCGCCTCCCGCTGCTGCTCCGCTATACTACTACGACGTCTACGTCGCCGTCGTCGTCGTCGTCGTCAACCGAAAAAGGGCAGTTTTTACACATATTTTCCTTGCTCTTCACTTGCATATCTATGTGTATACGGCGGCATATAGATCCTCGTGCCCCTCTCGCGTATTACCTTTGTATTCGTATATCTATATATGAACTCCGTTAGGTGGAAAAAGAGCGCGAGCTTTTTTTTCTTCTTTTACTCGCAGCGACATAAGTCACGAAAAAAAAAACAAAAAAAAGAAAGAAAGAAAACAACGAGTTCTTATTGCCGTTGAGACTGTGTGTCTATATAATATATTGCGCCTAGCCATCGGGTGCAGCACGCGTCTCGAGAAATAAAAAAAATATATATACACGAAGAACGCAAACGTCCCCGGCGCCGCTACGTGTAATTAGTATGAAATACTAAGAGTTTTCGGTGAAAAATAATTCCTTCTTTGTCGTTTTGCGCGCGCGAGCTTCGAGCTTAATTAAAGCTAGAGCGACGGGGCAAAATACTTGCGCGCGAATACTTTATAGCGAGAAATGCCTTTTAACAAATAAAATGTTAATGATAATGCACGCAGGCAAGTTTTTTGTCCTTTTAAAAATTTACTGCCGCGCTCTGATGCGCGTACGCGTACGATGATGGAGAGCATTAGATTTCAAACGAGCAAGATGTACTCGCTCTATCTTACTCTCTTTCACCGCGCGTTAGTCGTGCAGAGAGAGAGAGAGAGAGAGAGAGAGAGAGAGAGAGAGAGAGAGAGAGAGAGAGAGAGAGGTATAACGAGANATTATAATTTAGTAAAATAGTCATTTATCTTGGTTTGTTTTTTCTTTTGGTCAATTATTTTGAAAATAAATTTTTCAAATTTGTAGTACTCTTCAAAGGATTTCGAACGATGTTGAACTCCTCGTCTCAAGACTTGTAATGCGTTAAACATTTCTAGATTATTAGGTGCGGGTTCTATACTATCATCTTCCTCTTCAATTTCTGATTCATCTGTGTCCAATTTTTGGCATATGTCATCATCTGTTGGCTTTCCAGAGGTTTCTAGACATTCGTCAATATCTATCCACTCGTCAAAAACCTCATGTGTCATATCTTCCGGATAAATTTCGTTCAAGCTAACGTTGCTCGAAATATTACATATTTCATTAGTTCCGTTAACAAACCCAGCCTTTCTAAAACAATTTTTTATCGTTTCGCTAGATACATAAGACCAAGCTTCTTTGATCTGATGTAGCGCATCAAGCAGAGAGGTCTTCTTGGCAATGTCATTGGCTTTGACATTTTGTTGATTATCTAATATTTGTATAATCCGTTCCCTCATTGTTCTTCGATAGTACGCTTTTAATGTACGAATTATACCTTGATCGCAAGGCTGTATCAGAGACGTCGTGTTGGCAGGTAAATAAACCACTGTAATATTTTTCATAGGCTCTAAGTTTGAATGTGCACCGCAATTATCAATGGTTAATAAAATTTTGCGTTTTAATTGTCTATCCCAATTTCGTAGCCAATCAGAAAAAATGTCTCTTGTCATCCACGCGTTTCTGTTGGCCGTGTAAGCAATAGGCAATTGAGTCACATCTTTGAAGCATTGTGGATTCTTAAATTTTCCAATAACAAACAGGTCTTTTTTTTCACCTGCCATACTGGCACAGCATAACAACGTTATACGCTCCTTACTTGTTTTGAAGCCTTTCGTATTTTCTGATTTTAGAGCATATGTATGCTCTGGTAATGCTCGGTAGTATAAACCCGTTTCGTCAGCATTAAATATATCGCTTGGCGAATAATTTTTAGATATTTCTGGCCATTCTTGTATAAACCACTCATTTGCACTTGTAAAATCAGCTTCGGCTTGTTCACCATGTGGCTTGCGATACACAATATTTTCTCGGCCTCTCCAACGTGAGAGCCAACCGTCAGTGGCCTTGAAATTTTCTTTGCCTAATTTCTTTGACAAATCTTCAGCTTTTGCTTTAAGTAACGGGCCATTAATTGGAGCGCCTTTTTCTCTCACTTCCACAAACCATTTCTTCAACGTTTTTTCTACGTCTTCGTCTTTGCCGCATCGTTTTCTCTTGCGGCTGAGATTTTCGTGAGAGCAAGAGGTACTTTCTATCTCGTAACGATTTAATAATAATCTACTAAGAGTAGCTTGTGATATGTTTAATAACAGCGCTGCATCACTTTGTGATAAATTTGGCAACAAATCATATTTTTTTAGTAGCTCCTTTTTTTCAAGGACACTTAAGCCTTTTCTATGAACTATAGCTGATGATTTTTTCATACTTGTATCACTAACACAATTAATTATTATGAGCATGTAATACCGACGGTGCTATGAGAAAGTACTGACAATGAAACTTGTATTTAATCGACAACAACATTGAATGTAAACATCGTCTTCAAACTAAATTTGATTCTATTAAGCGAAAAGTTTATTCACTTAAGCGGTGAATTTTACATGTATAAGGATACGGGAAAATCATTGTTAGGATTTTTGATTCATTTAACCGGCGTATTCTATTAAGCGCAATTCTCTTAAGCGGCGACCACTGTACATCCGCAGAGCCTGAGAAATTGAGAGATGCTTGGCGCGCTGCGCTCGCGAACACGCATATATACCTGCCGTGCGTGAATTATACACATTGCCTTATCAATTTCGCCGCCAAAGAGTCAACTTTGTACAACTTTATGAGGCCGGGCCTCCGTACTATTACGTGATTCATAAATAAACGCAAGAATGTTGTACAAAGTTGACATGGACGAGTTAGACGTCGATTCTTAATCATAATCGAATCTACTCTCAACTAGAGAGCAAGAAGAAAAGTTAACTCGAGTAGATATGATTTTATTATAATATCGAGAGGGGAGTTGACAAAAAATTAATGGAATAAGTAGATACGATTATGCGAAATTTTGCAACTAACTTGATAAAATTTGTTAATTATTAGTCGGTTTATTTCCGATCGAATCTAATATCCGACTAATGTCTCTCGAAACGCGTTATTTTATTTGTGACATACGAGTGCGGTTTGACTCGATTAGATCCTAATGAATAGATATGATCTTCGAACATGTATTTTCAAAAGAAAGTAATCTCATTTTTTCGAGAATCGAAACGATATTACTTTTTTATTCTGCTATATATTATAAGTAAGGACGCTCATATTTTTAGACTGATAAAATATTAAATAGAACGATAAAATATTTTTTGAAAAAAATCACCAAAGAATATTAAAAATGAAGCGATATTTGCTCGTACGCGCCAGCATCGGAGCCAGGGGAGAAAAGTTCGATTCATTTGAATATTTTCAATTCGGAGTCATATCGTGCTCCGACGTACAAAGAGCATTTTTGACTTATTGAAAAGGTCGAAATTGACTTTTTTTAATAGAATATGCGTCTGGCGTCATGGAACTTGGACTGGGCTCGAATCAATGGCTCCAAACGCGTTGATTGAAACATGTTACATACATATAGGTATAGCACAAATTTGTGACTATTACGAGCGCGTCAAAGACGACGCGTCGAGGATCAGCGATCACCTGACTCAACGCAGTCTGCGCGTCGTGTCAATGACATCATTATGGGTATATATTGCATTCAGCTGAAGCGATCATCGACTCACCTTGTGCATCGGCGTGCCCCAGAAGTCGTTGAAGAAGACATTCTTGAGCGGCGTGTGCGACCTGAGGTCTCGGTTCTCCTTGATGGCGGATATGTCGTCGAAGACGAAGCCGCAGCCGAGACTGTTGAGGTAGACGCCGAGTGCAGCGGCGCACACGGCCACAGCGAGGCATCCCCGCGCTGGTACTCCCATGTCATTTCTCCGCTACGTCGGACACTTGCTCGCGCTTAAAGTTATTTAAGACGTGTGTGCCGTGTATTATGCTGCTGCTGCTGCTGCTCGTGTGTATACGTTTTAAGCGCACTTGTCATGCAGCAGAACACAGAGGCGACCGACGTACACACAAACACATGGGCCAGCTTCCAGTGTAAGTTCGTCTGTGTGTGCGTATGTATTCGCGTACGAGTCGCGCACGGCGCACCGCAGACACTTGCCAATGGGTATAGTACGTAGTCTCGATCCTTGTGTCAGCGGAATTCGGAGCTCGCTCGAATCACCGAGTCCTATATGGACTCGATCGTCGTCGGGGCCCGGGCTCTTTCAACAACAGCTGCTTCTTCTGCTACACCAGCGACGAGGTCGACGCACCCGCTTTCTACTCATGTCGTTGCTCTATCGACCCGTAATACATATACCTACGAGTGTATACGAGCGCGAGTACCTGTGTTGGTGTTGGTGTGTGTACACACGCGCGCGCGCGCCGCACACGCACACGCAAACTGCTCACTTACGCGCACTCGTCCTTTTTCGATGTTCGCAACCAGCCGTCTTACGAATGAACGAGATTATCCTCGCGCCGTTACATAGTTCACACTCGATGCACTAGTGTCGAACGCTCGGTGCGCCGTCGTTACAGGCGGACGCCAGAACGCGTTAGCGAGCTCGAAATATCGCTGCACAGGATCAATACGTCTCGACGCGTTCTATCGTCCGAAAACGCAAATGTATCTTGACTCGAGGTCGGGATCGAGTCCAAGACGCCGTTTTTTACATGATTGTAACACAAACACCCACGCAGAGTCGACCGTGCAGTGCACTCGTGCACGTATACGCTCTACAACGCGAAAGAGGGGTTGCAATTTAACGAGGCTGCAGGCTATATTGTACTGTGGAGCCAGTGGTTTCTGCGAGCTCTATCTCTGCTGCTGCTGCTACTGTTCTACTGCTGCGCTCGACTGCAGAGTGCAGCGCTTGTGGTGGTGGCGGCGGCTCTGTCCCTCAGTTTCGTCGTCTCGGGGCCGCAGAGCAGCGAGTGCAGGACTCCGAAATTAGCAGCCTACGCAACGTTTGCGCAAATACGTAGTCTCTTCGGTCAGTGACTTATTCTGCGCAGCGAACGATGGCGCTAAGGTCGTCGATTCGACTTTACCTTCTTTTTCTGCGAAAACATTTGTACACGTTTCCGTAAATATTTCGTGATTTTTCCAATCATTGTTGTATCAAAAAACTCAATCAGTAGCTCGTTACGGAATAAATTTGATTACAATTACGTTAATTTTCTTTCAATAAATTTTTAAATAGTTTTTCGTATGAATTGTCCACTCTGTAGTACCGAAATATTAATGCAATTATGGTTTGAGTTGTTTCATAAACATTTTATTTCTACTCAAAAAATTAATAATAATTTTCGATAAATAATTTAAAAAAATATAATTGGCATTTAGTATATTACATGGTATTTTGGTATTTTGGTAATTTCAGTAATACAATTTAAAAGGGCCAAATTTTTTTGATTTTACGCTCTTCTCGTGATTGTGATTATGTAAAGTTGTTCGATAAAATATAATCGATGAAGAAACTCAATTTTGTAAATCGTGCCCGACGAATAGTACGACAGATCGACGTGGTCAAAATTGGCGGCAGCACCCGTCACGTACTGTCAGAAATATTCTGTATTAAAACTTTAAGGTTCGAATACTCATCACATATTGTCAAATTAACTAACCAAAATTAAATAAGTAATTATTTTCTGTTTAAATTTATTAATTCTAACGAGCCTTTAAAAAGCAAATATTCATAAAATACATTAAACCTTTCAATAATGATATCCAATGTTAATGTTTAGCACTCAGTATTCGCCAGCGTAGCAGACGTCTTTATTTTGCAAGGGTGCAAAATAAGATCTGTAGTGATCTGCCAATAGTGCAAAAATGGCTGCACTCGTAACAAAAACTCATTTTCAAGTTGCCAGTGAGTAGTGTTACAAATAATACATTTAATGACTCATAAAAGAGTTTGTACCAATTGGTGCTTAGTTAACTTATGTGAAAGTCTATTGTTTATTATATAACTGTCAAAAATATTTTTATTTACCTTCCTGCATTTTTGTTGCAGAGAGGCAATCACTATATACTCTGAGTGTAGCTGTGCAGTCATGTAACTACTCTCAAAAACCCAGAGTCATAAAAAATCCGACGCTTGCTTCTATGAAAAGAGGAACTGGTGGTCGCAGCTCTTTCAATGGCATCGTCTGCACTGTTTTTGGTAATTCTGGATTTATTGGTAGACATGTGGTCAATCGACTTGGTAAAATAGGAACCCAAGTATGTTGATTATTTATTGTAAAAGATGTAGTATTTTCTCTTATTTGATACATTAATATGTTGTTTCATCTTACAGTTAATATTACCCTATAGAAAAGAATTCTACGATGTTGCTGATTTGAAGCTCTGTGGAGATCTTGGTCAAGTATTATTCCATCCTTTTGACTTACGCGATGAAGATTCTATACTGAAGTGCATTAAATATTCCAATGTTGTCGTAAATCTCATCGGCAGTGACTGGGAAACTAAAAACTTCAAGTACAATGATGTTCATGTAGAAGGTGCCGCAAGATTGGCAAGGCTTTGTGCACAAAGTGGAGTTGAACGATTCATTCATGTTTCATGTTTGAATGCTGCTGCAGAACCAAAGGTTGGTAAACTGATTATTCACGTCAACTGCATTCAAAGTAATAATGTTTTTTTTCTGTTAGCCTATTTTACTGCCAGAAGGTTCTAGATTATTTAAATCTAAGTGGGAAGGTGAATGGGCTGTTAAAACAGAATTCCCCAATGCTACTATTATTCGACCAGCGGATACATATGGAACAGCTGATAAATTCTGTCGCTTATATGCTAATAGGTGGAGAATGCATTTTAGGTGAGAGGTTTTAGTCATTTTTTCTCAAATAGTACACTGAATTTTTATTCATTTCTTTTTTTTTAATTCAAATTTAGAGGTGTTCCCTTGTACAAAAAAGGAGAACAAACTGAAAAACAACCAGTCTGGGTTGGAGATGTAGCTGCTGGTATTGTTGCTGCAATCAAAAATCCACAAGCTGCAGGAAGAACTTATCAATTTGTCGGGTGAGTGTATGAATTCAAACAAAAATTATGATTAATTTGTGCTACAATACCATGTTTATTGATTCGCAGACCTCATCGGTATAAGTTATCAGATTTAATGGACTGGTTCCATGAAATTTTGAGAAGAGAAGCTGCTGACTATGGTTATCAAAGAATTGATTTAGATTGGGCACCACTTTTTAAACTCAAAGTTACTCTTACTGAAATGCTTAGTCCTGCTTATCCACTAGGATTGTTACACTGGGAGGGTTTGGAAAAGGTAAGAAAATAGATATAATTTAGCAATCTAAATACTGAACATACAATCATTGTTGCTGCTTGCAAATGTTTAAAATTGACATGAAAATTTTTACATTCAAAGTTAATTTTTTAGTAATTTAATTCAAGAAAATTGACTTGAAAATACCTTCAGTGAATGATGAGAAAGAAATACATTTTCGAATTTATTTCTTCGTCGAATTTTGAGATGCCTCACATATCTAATTTTTTTGACAGTGAAAAATGTTGAAAATTGCTAATCTGCACCTTGCATATTTTTCAAAATTTTTCCTTGGAGATTAATACGAGCTTAATTATATTGATTCAAAGATTCAATGATATTTTTCTCATTTATTTACAGGAACACACAAGTGATAGAGTAATAAAAGGTGTCCCAACTCTTGAAGATCTTGGAATTACACCAATACCAGTTGACACGCAAATACCTTGGGAACTTGATCCACATCGTTTTGATGGTAGCTACGAAGCTGATTATGGAGAATATTCCGAAATAATTCCACCAAAACCCGTTGAAAGCGTTAGAATATAAATGAGTTATATGAAAGAATTGTAAGCTTATTCTAGGTAAAGAAACTCTATGTATTAAATACAAGCAGTGTATACTGAATTCATTCAAAATATGTTTTTTTTTTGTTACCAACGACAAAAATGGAAAATATTACGGCTGTATTCGAACAATTAATTTTTGTAAATAATAAAAATCTGTTACAATTTAGAATTTCGAAATTGATTATTTTTGTAAAAAAACTTCTCACATTCAATAAGTAAGCCTTTTTTCATATTTATTTTATTAAATAATTTTCAAAACACTTCTGGAGTCATAATGAGTATTACATCATAAGATAATTGATGAATGTTTCTGTATCATCATTAAAAAATACAAGCTAGTTTGGTCCTCGGTTACTTCAACAAAGTCTATCCAATAGAGTACTTAAAAATTAATGGTACAAAAAATCAAGGTAATTTATAAACTGTTGAAAAAATGTGTTTCTTATAAGTGCATAATATCATGAGAATTAAAATAATTAAGTCAACTTACAAGTATTTTAACCAACTCCTAAAAAATTCACGTTAAATATTATTGCAATATTGGATAATAACTTTAAATAAAAGACATTTTAATAATATTTTCAGAACCTTGGACTCCGTTTAAACCAATAGTTGTTTGCAATCATATTAAATTACAGCTTTCAGCTTATGAAGAGGATTTTTTTTTCATTTTCAAATATTTAAACCTAAGAATGTAATCATATCTATAACTGAATTTATATTTTTCATGAGTTATTTGAACATATTGAAGAGAAAATATTTGTAAACGCATACTATAAAATAGATAAGGCCATACCTAGCTTTTCAAATATGATGCGATTGAAAAAAATTTTATTGCAATAGGATTTTTTAGAACACTTCTTTTTTTGGAAATCGAGTATTCTGCTCGATCTCAACATAATAGTAATTATATATTACATTAAAAAATCGAAAAGTATTGTTCCATTTGTAGCAAATCTGAAAGACAATCAATTTTTAAATGTTTATTAATGATTGCGAATTTTTCCTTACGAAGTAGTATTTTTCGAATACAAAGCAGTTAATTTTCCTGGCATAAATTGACAATTGCTGAGTAATATCGTTTGGCATCAGATTCACTTAACATTAATATTTTATCACAATTTTAAAATTTTTTAATCAAGTAAGCACAACCCTTTGATAGAGCGATTCTTAAGATATAACACATTTTAAGCGAATGTTGTTAATCATATACTAATATTATTACAATAAAATTTAAAAAATCAATTGTTTCATTCAGCTTCTTTATTTGATAAGTATTTACATTTTAAATTATTTCTATAATTTTTAATCGGAGACCTGAAAATTAGCTATTAATATTACCCATCTATACTTTGCGTAGACTTTCATTGTTTAAACTCACTTTAGTTTACCAACACCGAATTTATATATATAGAAAACCTTTTGTATTAATATTAATCTTATCAAAATCCATTAAAATCCGTTCATATTTATAAAATTTTTATTCCTTGTCGGGAGTGCATGAATAATCCTCAGAGCATCCCCAACAATTTTAGTACAATACAAAAGGAGAAGGGGAAAGCACTTATTATTACCCTCCGCGTACAAGCATCGTGGAAATCCCAATTTGGTTTTCACCCATAAAACCTTAATCTTTAATGGCATCTTTTTCAAAGCAATTTCGAGCTCGTGATATTTTTAAGCTGCATACAATAATCGTATTTACTTAAAAATAATTTTACAATTGCACGTACGATTTATTATTAATAATCTTTCAAAAAATTTTTATCAATACTTTCATCGTGTTTAAAAGTTCGTTAAAATGAGTTCATAGATTATTTTTGTTAGACGATTACTCAGCTCCCAAAGTATTTTTGAATAGGTGTATCATTTATGCATACATAATGATACCTTTTTAAAGCTCGTGAAGAAAATTTATAAGAATAGTTCGAGTTGATGAATAGATTATCTTTATCAGTATCATAGCTATAGCAGACATATTAAGCTATATTATATTTTTACGTAGAAATATTTATAAATAAGGCAATACCCTGAATTTTTATTACTTTCAATTGTTTGGCTCAAAATATTTCCTCGTGTGAAAAAACAGTAACACGAACGAAAATAATTGTAATTAAAACTTATTATTCGAAGAAGGATTGTAAAATTAAAAACTTTTCAGTGTATTGTGAAAGGAACTCATTAATATCAATATTGCATTTTACATTTGTTGCGTTTCTCTTGAACGCTTCTCAGATATGCTGCATTCAGAACATTAAACTTTCAGCCCAACATTTTTAATAAAGTTTTAATTAAATTGAAAATATATTATTTTGTACATATAGACATAAAGATTTGCACAACCATTCGAGTGAATACACTTTCGTAAAACAGCTTCGGCACGTTTGTAAATCCATATTCAAACAGGAAGTGAAAAAATGAACGAGATAAAAATAAGAACATCGTTGAAATTATAGGTACGAAGACGTAGAGGGCAAATCGTTGCAGGACAGGCTCAAGGCATTGAGCACGTAAAGGGCGAGACAGGAGATTACGAGGGCGAGATCGCGAGACCTTGGGCTCGTGGCCAAGCCGTAATTGTCCTTGGTCAGGCGATCGTGGCAGGTGGCGATGGACTCGAGCGGCACCGCGTCCATGGACTTGCCGTTGAACTCGGTCGAGATGCAGTAGTTGCGCCGTCGAAACTCGTTCACGCTGGCGCCCTGAACGAAGTCGCTCTCGAGCACCAGATGTATCTGGCAGTCGCAGGGGAAGTGATTGCCCTCGATGCTGCTGGAGTTGACGCGAAACACGGCGTCGCCGTAGTCCGGGGCGCGCAGCACGTGATTCTTGTGGAAGCGAAACGTGACGATGGACGAGTTGGCGCACAGGCGAAACTGATCGATGGCGTCGATCTTGTTGCTCACCACGTCGAGATTGTTGACGTGCTCGAGGCCCGCGAAGGCGTTGCGATGCACCACCCCGAGGTCGCTCGTCTGTATCAGCAGTCTGTGCACATACCTGCGTACGGATAACAGGCAAGCACACGCGTTAACTCGCGCGGCCCAGTTATTAATCACGCGCCGAGTCGCGAGAGAGAGCAAAAAAAAGTAAAAAATTTAGCAAAGAACGCGCGCAATTTTTAAATTCATAAGGAGACGCATCATCGTCGTCGTCGTCGTCGTCGAGCGAGGCCTGCAGCATGCAAAATCGAGTCATTTCGCGACTTGGAACTCCTGCGGTTATAGGTATAGGTACGCGTAGTGGTGTGCACAGGCGATGCCTGAACTGCGCACCAAACTTCATGCATAATCGATCGAGCTGTCGGTCAGGCCAACTTTTGGCCCATACTTTTTCAGCTGCTTAATCGATTTTTTTCTTTCATCCTTAATGGTATATACATATAAGGCTATACTATAATAATGTCGCGGCGCACGCCTCAACTTTGGCATACATTTTCGTTACGCGTGTCTTAAAATAAATGTGCTAAGCTTAAACAGCGCGTCGAGGAAAAAAAAAGTATATACGCGATTGTAATTTACGGCGTTTTCCAAAGCCCTCGTAACTTTCTAACGAGAGGTATTTAAAAATTGTTCGTAAAAAAAAACTTTGTATTATATTACAAAAAGCTGTAGGAAATTATGTATTGTTGAAGTTATATGTATACCTGAGTCCACGAAAGGTAAACGGCATCAAGCCCTTCAGGTCCATGTACGTCATCTTGAGAAAGCCGACGTGCTCGAGGCCGTTAAAGGCGTCGGGCTCGATGCTCGTGATGGTGATGGGCAGTATGAGATTCTGCACGTAGGTGAGCCCCGAGAAGGCATTGCTGTGTATGACTTTTAGGGGATTGTTGTTGAGCATGATGTTCTGTATCTGAGTGCTGCCGGCGAATGCCCGGCCTTTGATGTAGCCGATCTTGTTGTGAGCCAGAATCAAGGTCGAGACGTTCTGGAGCGCGGCAAAGGCGAACTCGCCGATGTAGCTCAGGGGATTCTGCTGGATCTGCAGGACGAGGAGCTTGTTGAGGCCGCGAAACGCGAAGCGCTGTATCTCCTGGATGTTGTTGGCGTCGAGATTCAGTCGCTTGAGCGAGCGCAGATGGCTGAAAGCGTCGCTGCGCACAACCGGATAATTGTTCTTCGACAGGGACAGCTCCTCGAGATTGTCCGGCAGTTTGCTGGGTATGCCCTTCAGGCCGCCCGTGTTACACAGAATCTGCAATCGATAACCCCCCGTTTATTTTTTTTTTCATTCCCGAGCCGAGAAAAGGCAAAATTACGTAACTGCGAAAATTCGATTCGTTTGTTTTTGCATGATTATAATTACTTCTGACGTAATTTCATCGGTATGAAAAATTTAATTCGAATCAACCGTCGTCGAAGGGATATTAATATCTCGATGAAAAATTTTCGTAAGCGTAAAATTATTGCTTTTGCCGCGAGGACTAAAGCCCGATGAGAAAATTCTATATAAATGTATCAAATGTATAAAATGTATAAAATCTCGTCAATTTCAATACTGCGAGGGGCGAACGAGTGCGTCTCGTTGATACATCACACACACCTACACTACTACACATCGATATAATAAATATGCACGCGGCGAGCAAAGGACGCAGGAGTTACATTCCATTTGAAATATTAAAGAAAAAAATATCGAGAGAGAAACACGCGACTGGGGATTTAAAAAAAAAGGAGGAAATGTCATTGCACCTCTAAGCGCGTTTTTAGTTTGATAAATATTCATGCGTGAGTACTTAAAAAAATGAAGTTCAAAGGCCGCTGCGTATACCACTATGCGTATATACTATCGTAATGAGACATGAATCCCCGCGCGCAAAAATATACGTATATATGTGCATTGTGCGGATCGTTATGTATGAACGCTGCAGCTGCCACACGCATCGAATTGCTACACGACCGAGCCCGAGTGTGTACACGCATCGCGTATATAACATTCGCAAACGATTTCAATATTTAATATGCATCATTAACGCTGCAACGTTTGCACAAACGAGATGCATACAAACACGCGCGTTGTACGTTGCCACGTTAATATTTGCATGATGCGCGTACTACATATGTTGTATATTGTGTATATAAATAACACGTACCTGGGTCTTTGATAGGCACATGCACTCGGCCACGCAGGCGAAGTCTGTTTTTGTGGCTACCGTAGTAATGCCACCGACGGCCCCGGCGAAAAACATTAATATTAAGCATAGCGACGTTGAATAAATCCAAATCTGCAATCAGAAACCAGTCCTTTTTACCCATATTCCATTTTCTCCTCCTCGTCCTTTCCCGCAGCTTTTTCTCGATTATTTGTTTTATATAAACTAACGAACTTTATATATCGTTACATGGCATAATGCTCGAATTCTCGAAACAACCTCAGCTACATCCTAAGATCTCCCGCCGTCGTTTTTTCCTTCTTTTTTTATATATATATACTACTACGAGGAGGACGGAGGAGGAAGCTAAAGCAAACACTCAATTTCTAGTACAGCTCGCGGAGTTCGTCGTACTGTTTTGTTTGAATTTCCACTTATTCGTCTAATAAAGTTTCTTCGCTGAAAATGCCGTATAGAGATATACGCAGAGTGTAGAGCTGCTGCAGCTCGACGATCGTCTTTTGCCGCTGCCACCGCGTCCTAGTAGCTCGTATGAGAGAGTAGTTAAATCAGTGGACATTTCGCTGATTGCCAATGAATATTCACTCTTTTATCGATGCTTGTAAATATATTCCAGAGTAGCCCAGGATAAACACAGTGCAGTGAGTACGTTTTCCCATTGTGCTTATGTATAGAGCTTTAATCCAGTGATTTTACATCGTGCCTAGTATACCTGTACTTATACGAAATCGCGTTCGATCTTCGTCTGTCCGCCCCGAGCATTGCTAGGGATTCGCAATTAAATAATATTTGGAATGTTTACGAGGTGTGCGTCAATTTAAGAGTAACCCAGCTGGAATCCGATATCGCAGCTCTTTGCGTTGCGTTAAATGCTCTGATTAATGGCACACTTGTATGCGGAAGAAATAAATGTATCTATTTATCCTACATATGTAATTCTATTCATAAAATTTACTATCTACGTTCGGTCTTATTTTTGATATAAAATAAAAACAGACGAAAGTAGCATTTTCCGGCCACTGCGTCAAACGGGAAATGTTATTTTCAGGCCACGAGATACGAACAATAGTGTATACCGACCTAGGCGGTGAAAAAGAAAGCCCTCAAGTGCACGTGTTTATCGGCCGCTAATTACACTTACCCTGAGACTTTTCTGGTTTCGCATCCTAGAGCAGTAATGTACGGTTTTTGTCGGTTTTACATGTACATTTTTAAATACTCTGAAATTTTCATATTAACCCGCAACATTTCTCTCACTGCGAATTTTTTTGGATAACAAGGGAATAAAATGCAAACAGCTGAATCTCACACACGTAGGACGCACATAATGAATGTCAAGTTACACACGTGAGCACAGAGCGAGAAGGACGAAAAAAAGGAGCCTGCGAGCCTTTGAAGTAAATATTGTTTCTGATGTTGTCGAAACTTTTTTCACTCAGTCACAAGTAGATGAGTTCAACCGCACCCCGCAGCATGATAATTCAATATTTTATTTCGCTGCGTGGAACTTCACTCTCTGCTCGTCGTCTTTCTTGCGTAACCTCGTTCAGTTTTCTTATACCCATACCAGCACGACCCTCTCTCGTGTGTCACGTTTCTAATTTAATCGAGCTCCGCATTTTTTCTTTCAAACATTTCAATTTCATTTTCATCGGTATTGAAAGTTGAATCAATGTCATTGAATGAAATTTTAATTGACGAGCTCGAATGATGATCTGTCGAGCCAGTCGGTTGAAATGTTCAATCTATGAATTTTCAATTCATTTTTTTTTAATTTATCAGAATCACTTCTTCGCACCCAAGTAATTGCTCAACATACCAAAAAAATTCAATTTAAAAACCACCAATTACTAAAACATGTCTACAAACCAATAAGAAAGAAGTACCTTATTTTTAATGGATGTATTAGTTATTATTTAAAGTTGATAATATATTAATGAGATTTTTTCCTTTTTGTAAGAAAAAGTAACCTGTTGATCATTCTGATACTAAAAAAGTCAAGAGACCAATGCGAACATATTCATGAATTATGGGAGGTGTACGTGAACGTGTGATGTTCTCACAGGGTAGTATTCCGATACTTGCCGAGTCGTAACCCCTGATTTAGTAAGAAATGAAACTCGTATAGTTATTATGGATTACTGCTAAATTAATTATCATTAGGATTTATCAGTAAAACTAACCAGAATAATGTGAGAAACTAAAAAACTTTGATGATAATAAGAATTAACAAATTTACCGAACACTTTTGATAAGAGCAGACTTTCAAGATAAAATTTAATGTATACGACGGGCGGTCAAAAAATGCAAAGTTTGTATAATCGCGAAAGAGCATAAAATATTTAAAGTAAAAAATAAATCACGTACGTGCCTGATAACTACTCAACACCCACTCAATATAAAATACTTTTCATCGTTTGGAAAAACGAACGAAAGGGAGATGAGAAGAGAGAGGAGAGAGATGAAATGAAAATTTCCAATGTCCAGTACACGTTTGAGCAATAAATTTACATACATGTATATTCTACCAAATATGCTACTATACTGCACATACAGCATAGAAATTTCTCGCCGCGATAAAACCTCTTTTATATATATTCGTGAAATATATAGTTTTCAATCTAATCCAAATTTTCAGCCGAAATAAAGTAATCCTTCGACGAGTAAAAATAAGAAGTTTTCACCTCGGTCAAATTATTTCGAGAAAATCCTTTCTCGTATAAACAGTGAAAAATGCACAGTTGCGGAAATTTTTCACGTTGAAAAACTAATTTGATTTCGCTAATAGCATTAAAATACACAGGATTGAACGAAAAGTTTGGCTCTTTGCATGTGCACGATTAAGTAAATAAACTAAATGCGGCGTAAATTTCGAGCGAGAAATCATTCTCATTCGGATAGAAATAAATTTCAGTGATAAATACTTGCCTGGCGGGCTTCAAAGGGGGGAAACAGTCGGGTCTCTCACCCTCGCGCTTTTACAGTGCAATTAAAGATATTATTATATATAAACGTTCGTCAAAAGGATCGTTCCAGCTCTGAAACGCTGTTGTATCCTGACTAAAATACAATATATCATCACGGCTACAAGCGAACTAAAAACGAAGAAAATTGTTTCGGTTGGGTAATTGCAATTAAAACTGAAATATTCTAAACTATCAGTACTTTGAATCATAAAATTTTGCTCGATGATGGTGTAAATTAGAAAAATTTTAGAGCTCAGGTGGGAGGAGAAATTTTATGACTTTAGTGAGAGACATTTTTTATACTGAAATATCATACCGCAAAAATTGTCAAAGGTAAATGTACTTTTTAACGATATAGCTCGATGAAGTCTCTATTTTTTTATGATAATAAAGTGACGAGGGATTTAATGCACTTCGGAAGATGATACGTCGCACTTACGTACATATATGATCCTTACAAGAAAATTACGTTAGCATTCGCATAAATATTTCATCCTCATTTTCCTATTCTTTGGCGACATATTTTTCACGTATAAAATGATAATAAAATTTTTGTCCCCCTTTCAGATGAAATATAATAAATACATTCAGGAGCACAAAACTGTGTGGAGTATTAGTGGTGACTTTCATCACGGATTCGCAGGATAAAGGTGCAATTATAAATTTGATGAGCAGTGCCATAAGAGGGATAAGATATAAAAGAGTTTAATTGAAAATCATACTTTGCCGCGCCGAGTACTACTCTACAATTATATACATAAATTTTACCATTTCGTGAAATACTTTGCGCGACTTGACTCGACTTCCAAGTTTTCTAATTATAAGGATTGAAGGAAAAATTTCGGAATGAAAAATATCTGGGCAGTTTTGCTTCTTTTGTTAAACAAAATGAATCATACGCTGCTATTGACTGAGAGTGTCCTGCGATGGCCCCGAAAGCAGCGTAGCGTATCGAGGGAACTTTTTCAAACTTTTGTAAAAAAATCTTAGCCAAACAAACAGTCTCTCTTTCTCTCTCGCTTTCTCTCTCTCTCTCTCTCTCTCAGTCTATACAGCGCGCGCGGAGGCGAAAAAGTCAAAGCTAGAGAGAAAAAAAAACGAGAAAAAAAGGGGGAAACGAAGTAAGCGCAATGAAAGCAGTGGAAATGGAAGGATGTATACGAGATGGACAGTTACAAAAGAGCGAGAAAAGATGAGAAAACAAGTTGATCTCCGAGCTTTCGTTCTACGTGCCGAGTGCCATGGGTTATATATATATACACCTAAAACAAGGTTGCAAAAGAGCATACAGGGCAAAGAGAGGCAGTGAGAGAAAGAGAAAGAGAGATAAAGATATCGGAAGTTAAGTAGTACGTAGCTGTCGAGCTCGGCTCCGCTTTTCGCGCGCCTCGGGCTAAAACAGGAGAGCTGGATACATGTATGTAAGGGAGCTGTGCGAATATCTGAAAGGTGGTCCTGCGCTTGCAACTTGTCTTCGTCTTTGCCGTTTCGTGCACGTGTGAAGATGTGTGTGTGTGTGTGTGTGTATGAGTACGTCTTGTCAGGTAAGCCTGCAGCATTCGTATACGTATATATATAGGTATGATGGTAAACACGAGCGGTTATATATACCTGCACGCTACGATACATCAATTCCAGAAGGCGTGCGGGAGCGCATGCCTTAATGTAGCCGGTACAGAGTGAGAGAAACCGAGTGAGTGAGCAGGTATAAGTAATTAAATTATCTCGCTGATGTTTTCTCCTCGAGATGACACACTGCAGCAGTAATTGAATTAATTTTTATATCCTTCCTCGCAACCGTCTTCTTGTTATCATTACTATTTCATTTCGTAATTTCAACACTGTCCGCGAGCGACGATCGTCGACGACATCACGAAGTACTCGATGTTTTCACAATGATCGACGACAAAATTCTATCGTTTGTACAGGTAAATATGCGTTCTCTTTCGAGATCCGTCGAGTCGAATCGAGAAATTATCACAAGGCTTGGCGGGTAGGATATTAGCGCGCGCTCGTGGCACGAGTACGCGTCCACGGGCCGAGCACGTGTCGCCAAATGCTCGGTGTATGGTATACGTGGATAGGCGCGTAGCGAACACAACACACGATGCGCGACTACCGAGCGACGATTGCTTATTAACGCTGCCGATCGCGATCCACACTGCACTCGATTCGCGTATTATTACTGCACATTACGCGCGCGCCTATTCGGTCTCCATATACAGTAGGCTAATATATACAGTATTTTGCGCGCTCCTCGCAAGCTCCGCTGCCGTGTGGATCTAGACTAGCAGCCTCCGCGCTGTGCCGTCGCTCACTCGCGAGTATATAGAGAGAGAGATTCGCCGCGCGCTCGCGATGCTCGCCCGGCCCGAGCTGCCGCTGCCAGGATCTCTCCGCTCCTGCCGTTTCCCCGTGGAGAAGTAGGGGCTTTATTTCAGAGCGCTGACTGTGCGCAGCTCGTGCGCAAGCTCGTAATTATTCTCCCCCTGCGCGCTCTCGGTTCCGCCGCGCGCGCTACACGCTACGATCGGTATATGTATGTATATATACGGTGCGCCCGCACATACTCTCCCACGCCACGAGCTGCAGCTACATCTATATGTAGCGGCGGTAGCGAGAGTATATACGTACGCAGGTATGCAAGCTCTGCAAGCTTCCTCCTGCGCTCGAGTTCTACTAGGCAATGACTATGTTCCCTGCTATGGATATACATATACGTATATAGAGACGGCCGTGTGTAGCTGCATCAAACGAGGGAGAGAGAAAGAGAGAGAGAGAGGGTGCAGGCTCACGGCGGAGGACTATACCTTATTAGCAGGATTTTCGCTATGCTGCGATCGGTGTCCTTTCCTCCTTTTTTCCTCTCTCTCTCTCTCTTTTAATTCTTTTTCTTTCCCTTTTTCTATCTCGTTCGATGCGCTCAAGATCAGTAATGGGAACAAGAGCTTTTTCCATCCCGCGCGTGCTACCTCTCTCTCTCTCTCTCTTTCATTCGAATTTCCAACAATGTGCCGGAGAGTAAAAGAATTAAAAAAAAAGTAGGAAAGAAAAAGAAAGAGAAGGGAAGAAGCGAGAAATGCGCAAACGACTCCAAGTAAGCAAGCTCTCTCTCTCTCTTTCTTTTCGCGTATATGCTATATAATATGCAGGTAAACAGCGAAGAGAAACGTGTGTGCATTTGAATGGCTCGTGAATTATTTATAGTAGAAACACACGCGTACGGACTGCGGGAGATAGAAAATGGCTTTTTCGGCGCGCTGCTTTTCGTATATATAATACACTCGCATACACGCACACACATTGCCGCGCTACCGTATACACAACGCACCTTTATACACACACTCGCATACAAAAGTCATCATCGCCAGAAACGCGTGTGTGCAGCAGTAGTAGCTTCGTTATGATGCATAGGGTGCGAGTGGAAGAGAAGAGAGCCGGAGCAGCAGCAGCTAGAGGCGCGAGCGATGCCACTGCGCCGCAGACTGCATATTATATAGTTGCGAAAGTATACATCGAGAGAGACTCTGCTGTGCCGGTGCAGTGCGACTTGTCTATGTGCTGCTGCTGCTGCTGCTGTTCGCATTACCGCGTGGCATGCAGTCTTCCAGTTTTAAGTGTCGGACGCGTTGCGGCCCGCCAAAAGATTAACTCGTCGGAATGCGCCGCCGCTTATACTCTCTACCACCTATATACATGCGTTCGCTGAATATTGAACTTTTTGGCAAGAAGTTTGTTAGCGAGATACTTCACACGTCCCTCGTTGTCATTTTCGTTGTCATCGTCGTCGTCGTCGTCGTCGTCCGCACGAGTTTCGCGCCCACAGTCGTATGTGTGTTTTCGACACTTGGATGACCATCGTGTGGTTTTTGTTTTTGCCCGCGTACAACTCGCCCGTCGCGCTGTTAACTTTTTGTTTTACATATCGAGATTATTTCGCATTTACATTTTAAAATGAACCCACGAAATTATTCATAATCATACTTTTTCCCAACATTTTGATGCGCCAACGTTTTATTCTGATTTCGCCAAATTTCGATCTCGTTTGTATTACTGTATATGTTAGACTTCTTTTTCAACTCCGTAATGAATCAAGTATATTTTTTCATAAAGTTACGTTTTAATCATCAAATTAATGGTGCTCTTGGAGTGGAAGAGAAAAACAAAGAGACGGTGAAAAATATGTTGAACTTTACCATTCATTTTCTAAAGCTTCTATATTATTTTAATTATTCTTATAATTAATAAACGCATGTGATTGGATGCTAGTGTTGTACTATAATATGTATTAGTCGAGCTGATTACTCCGGGTTTAGTTCGAAGACTGAAGCGTAGAGAATGAACACTAATGAGATGCTCGACCGACGCTATATGTACATTAATTTTGACGAGCAAAGAGAGAGAGAAAGACTTTATCTTTTATTGTTTCCAACGAAGGGGATATTTGCGCCTTTTTTTCATTCATTTTCCGAATATTATCTTGATCTCTCTTCTAAAAGTTCATCCTCTTTCTTTAAGTCCTTACTCGCTTAATTTTCTGCCTTTTTTCATTCTATTTTTACAGAATCTATAGTGACAGCTGGATTTGCAAACGGAGAAACGCTAATGCGACGTTTTTCAGTCTATACATGTTCATACAATTTATGTTATAACATTTGGGTAAAATAAGAGACAATATCATTCTTTATGGCACACACTTCACTCTTCTGCGGCATACTCGACGAAAAAGCGCTGACTTACTTTTTCGATACAAAAAATAGTCATTGAAAGTAAATATTTTACAATCATAAACATGAGTAGTTGCGGTTAATCTCAATGTCTTTCGTCAAGAGAACATAACTGGAAAGGAGTTGGTTAGTATCATTGAAATATCAATGGACTGAAAAAGAAAGTATATCCCGTACAGCAATAATGAATTTTTAAAAGTGGATTTGAATCCACAAAAATAGCAAAAATAACGATGTAAATATTGAAATTTTTGATCCAAATAGTACAACTCGTTAATTGCTTGAGATTAAAAAATATTTACTTGCTCAAGGTCATGTAACAGGCTAACATAACTTTGAAGAAATTAACTGCTTTCATTAGAAAGATATCAGCTAAAGATCTGACGTGCGCGTTTGTAGGTGGAGCCAATCAGACATCTTCAAAAGTGAAAGTAAAAATTTGTGAAGAATTTTAAGCCAAACGACCCAAGCATGGCGGAGCATGTCACTTTCTGATGACTATGTCACTACAGCTTCTATGTCAAACCATCACGCAAAGATAAAATATCTAATTTATTTTAAACAATTCCAGATAAACTATAATACACAAAAAAACCATATCACAATATAAAAATAAAATTTTACTACCCCTCTCTAATGTGACTAGTAATCATCATACAAAATGTATTTAATTAACCGTTTATTTTTACGAGATCAAAGAATGTAAATTTCTTCTGAAGTTTTAAATTTGCATAACTCTCACAGTTGCCACTATATAGAAATAGAAATATTCATAATTAATTGCGAGTGATCTTTGATTTTAATTATCGAATTTTCTTATGAATATTTCCTTCAACGATTGTAATGACAACAAAATAACTTTATTTTGTTTGAGAATGTTTACATTCATATTTTCACAGCTACGAATAGGTGATACGAAATTTCTGTAATAACTAAATTTCGGTTAATTGACAAAAATCCAGGAGAAAATTTAAATAATTGAAAAATATCAAATCACCTTTTACGTATCAGTGACTTACAGATTGAATGTTAATAACAATTCAATATTATACATCAAATTTTGTTGCTCGATTTGAAACTCTGTTATGAATAGACACTGTAACGGGTGCTATGCTCAGAATTTCTGATTTGGCCCGTTCGGCTTAAGACAATATTTTCATAAAATTAATAATTTTTGTTTATTAGTTATCGGCGATCATTAGCCGTCGAGTGCTCGTCGAGTATACATGAAAGTAGTGGTTTCTAACGTACAATTATAGGCACTAAACAATCATAATTATCTTCGGCTCGTGAATAAATTCATTCTTGAATTATTCATATAAAGCGCACATGATCAGGGTAGACGAATAAAAGAAATATTTCTTGTTACTTCGTATTGAAATAAATTTTTGTGTGACGTTCAAAATGAGCCGCATCGTTAAAGTTCTGGATCAGCCTCCATACATTGTAAGCGGCGATTTAGATTTCGATATGTATATGGACTCACCGAGGGGACCGAGGCCGATTATTCATCAAAGACCTTTCAGACCAATCGAGTCCATGACAGAAGCACTTGAATTGGCAACTGCAGAAAAAAGTCCGCAAGAACGTAAGTACTTTCGTTTTTTTGTCGCTGACTACACGATTTGAAACCGTTATTTGTTTTCAATTTATTGAAATGATTTAAAATCGAAAACTAGTCAGAGCTAAAAAACACGATTTCTTACGGTGAAAAATTATATCAAATAATCCAATTTGTTGTTCACAGGTAAAATAATCTTAATTGTCCGAGGGCTACGGATAACTGTTCCTCAAAATATTTATAGAAGAGTATTACTACGTAACGATGCAGGGACTATTGCTATAAAATGCAGAGACGAATTGTTAGCTCATAGAGAAGTACTGGCGGCAACTAGTGAAACTTTAGAAGGGCTCATGGCGCTAAGTAGGAACCAAAGAAGTATAAAAATTTATCTGAATCGTGTTCACCCTTTGGCGATGCGTTTATTACTTCGTTTCTTATATGATAATTATATTGAAGTACCCGAAACCTTGTT